AGAGCAGCAGAGGCCCTTCGGCAGAGCTCGGCAAGCACAGCTTAGCGCAGGATGGTGACAGGCCATCTCCTGGTCAGCTGGTTTGAGTTCTTGGCCACCATGTTGTTAGCCGGGCGTGTAGGTCAAACTCATGTTCTTTAAAGAGAACTTCATTAAAATAACAAGCTGTCTAATAGGAATATTTATAGAATCCTGCTTCTTAATTTGATCTGTTCTTTCACTGTTTGTTTTTTATTCTTTAAGTTCAAAGGCTTGATAGAAAAGAAACTAAACTTTGCAGATGCCCTGGGGGAGAAGTGCAGTGTAACTGATCGTCTGTGTGATTGCCCAGCCAGAGACTCCCCTCTGACCTGTGCAGAGTTCACAAAAACATTTATCTGCGCGTGCAAACCGGTTGCTGCTGCTCCATATCTGTTCAGATGCATCCTCCACGCCACCCGCACAGCAGGAAGCTGCCCTGAGCGGCCGGCCTGGTGTGGCAGAGCCATGCTGTGCCGTGGTGGCCGAGTGCGGGCCCAGCCACCCTCCAGTGCGAGCAGCGTCACCGTGCTGCCCGGAGACCCGGAGGTTTGTTTTCTGGGTGGGTGCTCTGCCCGCCCATCCCTGCCGGCTGCGGGCACAGGCTGTGGTCTGAGCGCTGGGCAGGGGAAGGGTCCCGGCTCGCCAGGTGGCAGGCGCGGGGAGCTCTGCTCGGCCCTCGCTGTCGTGGGGCGCTGCTTCAGGCCCTGCACGGGTGTTGCATCGCGTCTCGCCCTGCGGTTTCTGCTTCCCTCCCTCTCGAGGCGGAAAGCCCTGTCTTCCGTGCATAGCTGCTGCCGCCGCCATAGAGGGGCTTTGTGTGAGCCGGCACAAAGTGACGATTGATGCTGTTTCCCCTCCCCCTGCCACGCCGAGTGGGACAGAGGCGGTTCCCACAAAGGTGCCCTTCTTCCTCCTCCGAGGATGAGTTGCCCTCAGGCTGAGGGGGCCTGTGCGGGTAGAGGCACCTTCCTATGGTGGTGCCAGGGACCCCCAGGGCCTCTCCCAGGCTGACCCTGCTGCTGCTCGGGTTCCTGCCGGGGCAGCTGGGCCTCCCCGTGGCAGGCCCCAGAGCGGTGAGGCAGGGCCTGGGCAGCGTTCGGCAGCAGTCCCCGGCCTGCATTGGCCCTGTCCCTGCCATCGCCGCTGTGGGAGAGCAGGGAGTGCCAGGGGCTCCCTGCCCACCTGGGCTCTCCTGGGGCCTGAGAGGGGGTACAGCCCATCTGCTTCCCCTGCCCTGAGGTGAGGTGTCCGTGCCGTCCCGGCCACCCCTGCCTCTGCTGAGCGAGCCAGTGCTTCGTCAGGATGGGTTTGGTGGAGGCCGGAGGTGCTGGGGGAGTGGATCTGCTTCCCTGCGGTGCAGCTGCAGCCGTGCTGGAACCTGCCATGCGGTGTTCTTAGTGCGCTGGGGAATATTGTCACTTGCGTGGATTTCAGTTCAAAATGGCCTAAGGGAAGCTCATATCAGCATTCATTATCTCCCAGCTCCTCCTGATGTGTAATAACAAGTCATCGCATTATTGAGAGTGACTTGGAAAAGTTTCAGAAAACGTGCATCTGTATGAAGAACAGAGTGTAAGTTCTGTGAAATTCCCATTGTGTTTGCTCGGTACTGCGCGTTTTGGGCAGTGGGCTCTGGATTCTTTGTGAGGCATCTGGATGAGCCGGTGGAGCAGCGCAGGCAGCAGGGCGGGCTTTGGCTGGGCTGGGCCGGGTGCCACTAGCGCTCCTGCGGCAGGGTCCTCTGCTCCTCGCCTGCCCTGGGGACAGAGAGGCCGCTGGGAGGGGAGGGCGAGCCCCTATGGCTCAGGGCGTGCTTCTAGTCGTGCTTTGG